GTCAAACTGCCAGCCCATGGGCCGGATGCATCATGCCAAAACCATGCCCACCCCAGCTCCAGCAATGGGGAAAAAGACGCAATACACTGCGACACATCACATGACGTTGCGAGTTTGATACCCCCAACATAACCCAATCTTGCTACTTGGCATGGTCAGTCATAAAGATTCACTGCATTTTTAAGAAATGCTCTTTTGAGAAACAGCACCACTTTATAAATTCTCAGGAAAAATTTACCAATCAAAACTATAGTAATAACATATATTTATTAAATAATTGTAAGCAGTCTGACACCAATGACACTAACACATATGAGTAATTGTTTGTCAATTTTATATCCCCAGCTTTCCTCCATGAGTTGGGGGTGGCTTACTTGGAGATCTTTACCTTCTCATGCTGTTGGAATCTCCTCATAACAGTAGCCCTATAAGATGGTTGGGCTGGTAAGACTACTCCAGAATTATTTAGGAAGCTCCCATAGCTGATAGTGGACATGAACCTGTGTCTCATCAATTCTAGCATAACCTTTTAACTACTACACAACCATTAGCATTCTCCACATCATTTTTCTCACTCTTCCTCAAATCATAAATAAAATATCCAGCCAACAGAAGCTACGATCCACCAAGCCTATCAGCTATAACTGGTAGCACACATAACAGATATTAAAACATTTTACACACCCACATACTTCTAAACAATTTATTAAAAACTAAAGAGTCATAAATAGTCATAAAGCCAAAACGGCTACATGGAGATGTTAACATTGCATGGTGGGGAAAGGGGGTCATTCATGGGTATGCTCATGCATAGGGACTTGACAAAAAATATCTGCCTTGGATTAAATTCAGATTTCTTTTTTTTTTAAAGCACAATCTGGATGATCTACATTCAAGTTATACTGAAATTGAAAATGATTTCCAAAATGTATTCTTCCAATTTGAAAACCTTCTTGAGGTTACCACTCCAAAGTAACAGATCAATTAATCATATGCAATATGAAGGATAGGAATAGCTAATTACTATGCATAACAAAAACACAGGCTGCAAAGTACTGTTAATGTACATTAACTAATGCAAAGGTCCTCTCAGTGTCTGCTATCAGAACATAAGTAGTAGATTCATGATAACAAGGAAACAGTTTTTTAATTCTTTACTAAAATTATTTTTTAAAAATAATTAAAGTATCAGCAAAATATTAAAGCTATATTATCCATCTGAGCATATTTTTTCCTTCCAGTCTTTCTTATTGCTTAATCTTGTTAGAAGACAATATTCTCTGTTCCTGATATTTCCCAGCAACATTTGTGACTGTGATGTCATACACTAACCTCTACTTCACAGCAAAATCAAGCACAGCAAGCAGATGGGATACAAAAAAAAAAGAACACCCATTTAAAATACAAATCTCTTTTATTAAGAAGAAAAGAGTGCAGGCACAGACAATGAATAGGTCACATTTTTAAGTATGATATATTCAAATGCTTATCCTAGCATGAAAATCCGTTTAAAGCTAAAGCTGGGTAACTGATGAATGTGTGCATTCTATATTGGATTCATACATATAAGTGAAATGTTTTTTTAAAAAAAAGGTAACAGAGGCATAAAATGCTAGAAAAGCCTAAAATCAGCCACAGGAATATATAGCATTAGCATCTTTCAAAACAGTAGGAAACATCAGTCTGAATTTTTAGTAAGATTTTTAAATGTGGCTCATTGAGCAGAAAGGACAAATCCCGCACCATTACTCATCAGTCAGGCCTTTATTACAATCAATGACCAGAATTCCACCTAAAAGGTAAAAACCGAACTTATAAAATAAGTTAAAGCTAAACAGTAACTTTCGTTACAGTGATTTTTATAAACAATAAAACAAAATGTGGTCATATTCAAAGAGAATGAATCATATTGGTCATCTAACAACAGAATATAAAATAAATTCAAATGATCCAGGAATTTAGTTAATATGGAGGATGTAAAACATAAGCGTTTTATGACTTTGGGCCAGTCACCCTTTCTTACCCCAATTCAGGATTATTGTTGTGGGGAAAAGAGGAGGAAAATGTGTTGGATATGTTCAGCGCTTAAGTTATTTGTAAAAATAATAAATGCTGGGATGCAAATAAATAAATAAAATGGGCAATGCAACAATACATGAGCTGCATTTCAACTGTTCCTTCACCACAAGGATAGTCCTAAAGAATAAGGAATTTCTCTGTTAGCTGTTAGGTGCATTAAAACATGCTAGACTTAGTGCTCCCCTAAATTTAGAGATAGATATTTGGTTTAAATATTTTGCTGGTCTAAAAAAGAGAAAATAAGTATTATTTTTTTTTTAGTGAGGACTGACAAATTTAATTGAATTTTTATCCTTAACAAGTCGCTCGATGCCACCTACTTATAGGCCATCAGCATCAATAATATGTCCTGTGAAAAACCATGACTTTGCCACTTCTTATAAATTAAATTTAATTAACTTTTCCAAGTTATCAACTAGGGTTGAGGTACCTAAGCCTACAGCAAAAAAAAAAAAAAAAGCCATTTCAATCAGAATGAAAATATACATAACCACATGCTGGTTTCCACTCTAATCATACTAGTTTCACGACAAAGGACCACATTAGGCACACTTCACACCACTTAGAAAATAACCTTAGAAATTTAGGCTATATTCTCTCTATTGGAGCAAAAGAGCTATATGGGTGTGAACACCAAGTAAAAGTTGTGCATAAATATTTGCTGTAAATATTTTAAAAATAGCCAGTATAAATCTTGCCCCTTTAGAATAATGGAAAGATTGCAGAGCCATTGTCAATTTTGTGGCATTTTGCTTAATATAATCCTAATGGGACCTACACTCACCCAAGAAGTGAAACCCTACCACCAATATTTAACTGATTGTTCATTTAACTACCAAATATCAGCTTTAGGGCATTTGGCAAACATCAAAATCTTACTTTTGGAATAATTTATCTTTGAAGTTCCTTCCTTACAATGTACATTCCCACTATTACCACATACAGACATAATTTATTTCCTATATGACAGTTAAGAGTTCTGTAAGTAGAATTTTTTTTGTGAGTTGTTTCCCATGTTGCTCAACCTAAAACTTCATAAATGGCTCAATCATCAGTCACACAAATTTGTCTTGCAATGTCAGAGGATAAGAGCCTGAAACTAGACTATTTCACTTCCCAAACAAATAACAGGTTTCTCCAATCTAAAACAGTAGATAGTTCCAAGCTTGCTACAGTAGATAGACAAAAGAAAAAGGTGCAAGTACTTAAACCTTAATTTCACTAGATTTCAAATTTCCATTTGATACAAGCAGTCACCAGAGTTATTTCATTCTCTTCATTATCCTTTTTAAAAATACATTATTATCAGGGGTTGTATGTCCCTGAGTGTCTATGGTACTTGTTTCCAATCTAATATTGATGAAAGAAGGCCAATTAAATGATCAATAACCCTAAGTAGGATGGGAGAGTCAGTCAATCCATTGGATTTTGAAAGTATTTCATAAAATTCCTTCAACATGATAGCCATAGGGAGAGAAGCTGATCATTCACAAAATTACTATCATTGGTTGTCATGGCCAGTCACAAAAAACATTTACCAGAAATCATGCTGATAAATATGTTCTCCATTATTCCCTAGACCAGTGGTCAGCAACCTGCAACAGTGAAAGAGCCACTTGGATCCGTTTCCCTCGCAAAAGAAAAAATAGGGAGCCGCAAAAGGTGTGCGCGCATCTGCGCGCATGCGCACAGAACACAGGGCTTGATTAAAGAGTGGAGCTTAAGGCGAGACATGTGCCAGCCCTGCCCCCCATCCAGCTCTGGTATGAATGGCTCTGCCGTCTTGGCTTCTCCTCCCTTTGGAAAAGACTGCTCTCCCCCACCTCGCGCTCTCCCTCTCTGGGACTTTCTTCTTTCCGCCTTTTGGCACGAAGGTTCCAAGGGAGTGGAGGAGGAGGCCAACGGGGAGAAAGAGCTGCTGCGTTGAATCTTCCGAGGTGGCAGCAGACGGCCGCTCGGGCTTACCTATCTCAGCTTGCTGCGGGAGGCTGGAATTGAGGCTTCTGGCTCGCTTGGGGGCGGGGTGCTTGGAAAAGAGAGGATGGGAAGCGGAAAGTGGGAGAAAGGACGTCTTCCAGGTCTCTGGGGTTCTTTCGCTGGGAGAGCAAGAAAGCAGCAGTTCTGCTCCGTGGGAGGTGGGAGCAGACGGCCTCTCCTTCAAACTTTGCCAAGTGACTCCAGGGGTGAAGCGAGCTCCGAGTCCCCGGAATGTCAACTTTGCGAAAGAGGGAGGCAAGGGGGGGATTAAAATAAAACGGGGGGAGGTTGAGGAAGATGCTTACATCAGAGGGCCAGCAAGAAAGGTAAGATCAAGGAGAGGAAGAAAGCTTTCGGGGCTTGTGCACACACATAGCTGACTCTTCCTCCTCTCCTGCCCTTGCTGCATCTCCTGTGGAGATGCTTTTGCATTTCTCTGTGTCTCTACCACTCAAAGCCATCCTGCAGCTTGATTTTTGAAGCGATTTCAATCAGCCCCTTCATTGCCAAGAGTCCCCATGGAAGTCAATGGAGGTCCGCAGCAACCGAAAAGCCAGCCGCAGCACCTCAAAGTTCGTTGATTTTACCGGTTCAGTGGCCTGGGGACAGGCAGGAACTGAAGCTCCCACCGCCCGCCGGGCCTGCTCAGTAGCCCGGGGACAACTAGAAACCAATGCCCCCGCCGCCTGCCGCACAGCCCGGGGAGACGCGAGGCCAGCTCAGGGGCCCGGGGATGGCCAGAAACCAATGCCCCTGCCGGCCGCCACTGCCACCCAGCCCAGGGAGACGCGAGGCCAGCTCAGCAGCCCGGGGAGGGGCAGGAACCGATGCCCCTGCCCGCTTCCGGCCCCGCCAGGCCTGCCGCCCAGCCCAGGGAGACACGAGGCCGGCTCAGCTGCCCCTCCGCCTGGTGCAGGTAAGCCCCCTACCTCTCCCCCACTTACCCTCCATCTCCAGCTCTGCTGCTGCTTGGCCAACCAGGGCCATGGCTTGTGGGAGGGCTGGCCCGCTCAACGGATGTCTGCTGGGCCATCCCAGCATGGATCCCAGGGCTTCCCCGCGCGGCTCTCCGGCCACATGCACCTCGGAACGGGCCAGCCCCAAAAAGGCCCTTCCTGGCCACCCTTCTTCCAGGGGGCAGGGCATCCGGCTTCAGGGCCAATCAGGAGCTCTGCGAGGGGGCAAATCTGAGAGAGAGAGAGAGAGAGAGAGAGAGAGAGAGAGAGAGAGAGAGAGAGAGAGAGAAGGGAAGCACAAGTGCCTCTCTGTCTCTGTCTCTGTCTCTGTCTCTCTGAAAATGGCGGAGGAGGCTCCAGAGCCGCAGGAGATGGCTCAAAGAGCCACATGCGGCTCCGGAGCCGCGGGTTGCTGACCCGTCCCCTAGACTCTAATCACTCAAGATCTTCGTCACGACCTTCCAGATTCTCTTTATGTCTTTTGGGCAATGTGAACCCAGTTCCAAGCAATGGTGTTGTTTGTATTTATCACTATGTTTATTTTTGAAGAAAGTCTGTGGGACCTATTTGAAGCATCGTTTTAATGACACATTTTCAATTTTATGCTAGAAAAATATTTTGGGTGAAAAAAAACCCTTGATTTATAAAATTATTTGGCTCTAATATACTTTCCACGAGAATAAAACCCGCTTAAAGAATGGTGCAAGGCAACAATGACAGAAAGCTATGCTGCACATCAACTTGGTGCGTCTATCAGCAACTACAGAACAATGCAAAGTAAGTGGACCTAGGCATGATGAGGTGGAGAGAAGTGGGCATGAAGCAGGCTAAAGCTTCCAAGGTTGAGATAAACTTCCACACGCGGGGGGAGGGGCAGCTAAGAGGACATATAGGTGAGTCCTCTAACTCTAACCCAGATTTTGACCACATGACAGCGAGGGTCCTACAACATCCATAACTTCGGAAAGGGATTATACGTTTCTTTGTTCATCACATCATAATCCTGTAGAGTTGCTGAACAAATGGTCATAAATTGGGGACTACCTGCAAAAATCATAAACACTTGAATTTGGCTAATCCATATTCTCTACAGTGCATCTAAACTGGGTATTGTTTCCATACCCAACTTTAAAAATTAAAGATTAAACCAATGCAAAAGCTTAGTTGGGAAGACACCTTAAGATAAATATTTATTTTATTTTGTATTTAAGCAGGATTACCAGATCTAAGTAGATATACCATAATGTTGTTACTATCCATAAATCTCTCCTTCCTAAGATGACCAATATCCACTTGTTTTTAAAATAGTAATGGCAACCAAATGATTTAAACTAGCAGCTCAAATGCTTATGCATACATAGCCAAAGAGAATTCCTGCTTAAACATCATAATTATATGTACTGCTAAACACAACTTACGGAATCCATTATAATGTGCAAATTGAAAAAAGGCTAAAGCACACTCTCAGAGCAAACTGTATGTCTCTAATTAAATATTATTGTGGTTGCTACAGCTAATAATAGTATATAAAACATATGTAATGTAGTAAGCTATAATTATATAGTTATATTACTAAAAATAACAATAAAAAACAATTAAGCACACTTCCTAACTATATTAGTCTATCTACATTAAAAATATAACTTGTTATATTTTGCACAACTAATTTATATGCAGAATATAAAGGTATGTGCATTACCTTCATTTTCAGAAGCCTGGCATTTTACTTGTATCACCAAATCAAAGGTAGTCTCTGGATTTTCTCTGGAAATAAAAACAAAATATTTGATTAGTCATGAATTGGTCAAAAACATTTAAATAATCTAATAACAGGAATGCTATGTTTGTTATAACATTAAACTGCATAATAGTATTGACTCATAATTACTTGTCCCTTAGAATACACAATGATTATTTACCAACCGTCCTTGAGATATATAGAATTGCATTACAATGCAAGCTCAACAAATATTATTTAAGCTTGACTGTTGAAATTCATTAGATTATATAATAGTTAATCCAGCTCTAGTACACTAACTCTCAGCACTGAATGACTGAGAAGGACAAAGAAAATCCTGCCAAGATAAACAGAAATGGGAACTGACACTGAAAGTAAAGAGTTAAGCTACAGTTTACTGCAAGTTAGAAATAACATTTGTTTTACATCTTTAGGAAAATAACTGTTTTCCCTTACTTCATTAGGGATTAAAATAAACAGTGTAAAACAGAGATAACTGATCACGGTCACCTCAAAGTACATATGTATGCAAACCAATAATATGATATCTTTTATAATCCTATATATTAGCCAGTTCTTCTTTCAACGTCTATTTCAAATTCTGTAGCTATAACTTGAAGGATTCTATCATTTCATAATGGGTAAATAGACAAGAGATTACCTTTTACCATGGAATGTTATTGTTATTCTTGCAACACTTCTAGTATGTCATATGTAATGTCATGCAGTATATGCTTTACACATTACTCCTCCCAAATTCTATACATATTATAGACCTCTATAAATTTGCAAAGCAACTGCTGTATATATATATATTTATTTATTTCTTATTGGCTATATAGAATATAAAATATGAACTCAAAGTTATTATTATGTATAATTAAATAAACTGAATTTGATAAAGATTTTTTCATCAGTACACTTCAATTTTTAAATAACACTCACCTAATTGCTTAAGGAAAGATTGCTCTCACATGTACAATTATGGAAACTGCCTTATGGCTTAGCATGGATTTTTTTTTTACAATCATATCTAATGGAATTGTGTTAATATTAATTTTCCCTGAATCATGTTTTCCAACTGTGTTGGAATTAAACTTTTAGAATTTCCAGCCAATAACTCAAAGAAATTATTCGCAAAATACAAAAAAGTGCTAGAATGGGAATGGATAATCTAAGACAGAACAACTGAGGAGCAATAAGCAAACTGTAACTTCTTCAATAATTACTTGAGCTTGCAAATATTACTGTTTCATGCAGATAACATGTGAGCATTCCCCCCCCCCCCAACTCTAATAAAGAAGTCACTCTCTGCTTGGTTACATAACTGCTGGGCCATGAGAATGAGTAAATATGTAAACAGAAGGCCAGAAAAGCAGATATTAAACAGTAACTGGAACTGAATGTGCTACATTCAAGAAAGTTAAACTACATAGTTGTTTAAAGAACCATAAACCTATGTGTTGTGGAACACAAAGTTCAATGTATTAAAATAGTCATAAAATCATTTTACCAAATTTATATTCATGGGGCTTCTACCCTTAAAAACCAATCATTTATAACTTCTGGATAAAATGTTATGCTTCTTTACACAATGTAAATACTATGCTTGCTCAATCTGAAATTTGTCCTTCTATGAAGACTTATTGTACACAATTGTACACAAGATTGCAGCTATAATAGGATTTGCAACTGAGCTCTCTCTTGCAATGGTTTGTGTAGTTGAGTCTGCTAAGTCCAGAACTACCCACAATGACTGAAAAGAAAACTTCTATGATAACAGGTTCTCCAACTATAACCACAACTTCTTTAGAAATTAGATGAACATCTCACAGGTCAATATTTCTGTTTTCTGTGTAACTGCTTCTAGGCTTCCACAAAAAGGCTTTTCAAATTTTGTCACTTTGCATCATAAAATATCAAATCAGTTCAATGTGTGTTGGGCAAAGGCTTTTATGTCTATTCCAGCTGGCTCACCATGAACAGATCATTGTCGGTTTGCAAAAATAGTTCAGAAGGCAAAATTTAGCAAGGCTTGCAAGGTCAAGATTTTAAGCGCAATCACCAAATGAGAAAAATGTTAATTCATTTTTCACTTTAAAAATAATTCCCTTGGAATTGGTGTAGACATTCAAATGGTGTATATTTTTCCAACCCACTGTGGAAATTATTAAAAACAGAAAATATTTATATCCATTAATTCTGTGGTATCATTCTACTCACATTACTCTGTCATGGGAAATTCCTTGCCAACATTTAACATCCTCCTGCCCACTCTTGCCACATATGCTATCTTTTCAGTAATGCAGGGGAATTTTGGTGCTCCTATCAAATTGTTACCTGGCATACACTACAGTACTTTAGAGTTTAATCTTCAAATCCTATCAGTTGGGGAAAGGGGGAATGACATCTTAAGATACCCAGGTACAGAGACTGTGCACTAGAAATGGGGATAAAGAAGTTTTTCACATGGGTTGTAGGTTGCCAACAGATCAGAAAACACCAGCCTTCTTGGTCTGTTGTGTTTCTATTGGACTTCATTCTGCAAAAAAAAATGTGTTGTCCGACCTTTACTAGGGAGGTCTGCATTCTCACTTGCTGTCAAGTATTGGTCAAGAAAGTAAACCCGCAGCAGGCACAGTCAAGCAAAGGCAGACCAGAGACAGAGGAATGCAGGTATTGCCGTCAGCCATTCAAAAAAAAAAAGACTGTCAGATTTCATTCTGCGAAGGGAAGGAGGGGGAGGAGAGACGCTTTGGGCGATAAGCTAGTTTTTACCAAAGACAAAACAAGCCCAGAACGAGCCGGCGGATCCACCTAAGCAAACCCAAGTGCTTACCAAGGGATTTCTCCCCTCCAAGCGCGTTTGGGAGTGCAGCCCCTGACAGACGCGGGCCAGAAGCAGGGATGGGGATCCGCTCCGTTTCCCCCCCCCCCACCCACCCTTTCCTGCTGATCTCGGCTCCCGTCCCCGGCCGGCCTCCTCTTCAGCCGCCGCGCACATGCAAAGTGGGGCTGGGGGTGGTTTTGAGGCCTAGCCTGACGCCTCCCCTCGCTCTCTCCGCGGCGGCCGGGGAGCGCCTTTCCCTCCTTCAGCCGACTCTGGGCCGCCGCCCCGCTTCCACTGACCCCCTTACTTGATCCTGCAGTCCATGGTCGCATCTCGGGGTGAGGGGTCCCAGGAGGCGGCGGCACCCCCTGAAGGGAAAAGGCAGGCGCCAGTCCGGCCTGGGCGGGAAAGGAGGGCGAGAGGGAAGGGACGCGCCGGCTCCTCGCTCGCTCGCTTCTTCTAGCCCCGCGTCCCAAGGGGAGCAGGTCGGGGTCGCGTGCGGTTCCCAGCCGTCGTCGCCGAGGGTGGCCCGAGCCTCGCTGTCTCGCCTCCCCGGTCCGGCCCGGCGTGACGGCGGCCGTAAAAGCAGCACCTCCTTCCCGGCCTCTCTGCTACCTCGCTC